ACCAGAAAAAAAAACAACATTGGGGGGGGGGGGGGAGTCCATCTTTCTGCCAGCTTTTAGTAAAACTAGAAAATAATTGATTGTTTTAATAAGAGTGAAAAGTGATCTTTGGAATTTGGCTATTCCAGCTAGAATTCAGCTTTTTGAAATCACACAACACTTGCATGCTGAAATATTTATAGCCCAAGCCATCCCTTGTGAGGGTTATTGATGCGCAGGGGATCGTAAATACAAAATTCACTCCTTCCCCCAATTCAAAGTAGAAAAGGAGGATCCAGCTTCAGCCCACGAAAGTAGCAGATCTATTGAGATCTAAATCAGGCATGTCAAACTGGTGTTTTGAGGGCCGCATGCGGCCCGATCAAATTTTTTTGTGGCTGCCAAGAACATTTTTATAAAAGAATGAAGTGCAGCCCACTGTCCGCTTGGAGCACATGGCCGAGTGCCTGTTCACAGCCAGCCGGGCTGCTCTGCGTTGCAGTGACTGCTCACAGCTGGCCGGGCTGCTCTGTGCACGCGCTCATGGCCGGCTGGGCACTCTGAGCTGGGTGCTCCAGCAGGCGCTCACAGCTGGCCACTGTGCTCATGCTGGCCCAGTGCCTCAGGCAGCAACGTCGACTCCTGGACCCAGGTATTAGGTTGGGGGGAGGCTCTGGGAGAGCCTGGCTCTGGGTAGGAGGGAGGCAATAGGTTGGGGGGGAGGTTGGGAGTGCTTGGCTCTGGGGGAGAGAAAGGGGTTAGTTTGTTAATATTTTGTTTTTATTTATTTATTCCCAAATAAAATCACAAAATGTATATTCATTTTATATCAATAAATATGTCAATTTTTTATAATTGCATGAATAATTATATCTTTATGAAAAATCTCAAATTTACAGGCTGCGTCTACACTGGCATGATTCTGCGGAAATACTTTTAATGGAAAAGTTTTTCCATTAAAAGTATTTCCGCAAAAGCACGTCTAGATTGGCACGGATGCTTTTGCACAAAAAGTGCTTTTGCGCAAAAGCATCTGTGGCCAGTCTAGACGCGATTTTGCGTAAGAAAGCCCTGATCGCCATTTTAGCCATCAGGGCTTTTTTGCACAAAATAGTTCTTCCCTGTCTACACTGGCCCTCTTGCGCAAGTATTCTTGTGCAAGAGGGCTTTTTCCCGAGCGGGAGCGGGAAAGTATTTGCGCAAGAAGCACTGATTATGTACATTACAAAGTCAGTGCTCTTGCGCAAATTCAAGTGGCCAGTGTAGACAGCTGGCAAGTTTTTTTCGCAAAAGCAGTAGCTTTTGCGCAAAATCTTGCCAGTCTAGACGCACCCACAAAGTATCTCAAATTTTCACAGAAGCCTGTTCTATTTGATTAACTATGGACTATACTTGTGTTTATTTCAACAAAACAAGTTATGTATCATATACAAAATTTAAAAGTATAATTTTACACATCGAGTTATTTTAATATTATAAAATATATCTAAAACATAATCTCCATATTTTGCTGCCCTTCAATCTTTCCACTTAAAGAGGAATTCACTCTATAGCAGAGATGCTGATGTAAGTTAACACTGATGTGATCAGAATTAACGTACCACATGTTGCGTATCCCTGTGTATATGGAGGACAAGGGATGGAGAAATGATGTATCACTTTCTTAAGTAATACTAAGGCCTACCCATTTGTCCACCTTCCTTCCCCCCAATGCATAGAGGATCTGTAATGGGCCTTTCATGTAACTGTGGGTAATATTGGCTAGTGATCATTGAGATCTATAAAACATCCTCATCACTATGAGCTGTAAACTCATATATTCCATGATGTTACTTTTGTTTGAAATTAGCTGTTCGTAGAAAGGCTAAACAGCTGTTGTTTTAATTACTGTCAGAAAGTATGACATGCATTTATTATTTTAAACTCCTTTAAGATTTGTAGAGATACTAATTTCTCATATTATGTAGCCAATTTTAATCTCAGGATCTCAGGGCACTAAATAACTTTTCCAAGTGAAAGACAGTCTTAAGAATTGGGGGAAAGGAAAGGGAATCCTCTACTCTTAACACTAAACAATATCACTTGTGGTTTTGGTTTTGGTTTAAACAAAATACTACTGTTTTCTTTAAAACTTGATCTGTATTTCCAGGGGATAGATGTACTGGATGTTTCAGAGGTTAGATATTATATAAACGAAAGGGGGGAAAGGGACTCCTTGTTAAGTTTTTGGGCAAAATTTTGCTGTTGGAAATGTACATCTATGGGAGCAGCTGGTTAAGAGACAGATCCTCAGCTGGTGTGTATTGTCATAGGTCCATTGATTTCAATGGTATTACATCTAGGGTTGCCAGATGGTTTAACAAAAAATACTGAACCTCCCTTCCCCCTCCCCAAAAAAAACCCACCAGGAAAAAAATTCTGTTGAGAACAAAAAAGGGGGAGACCAAAGTTGTTGAGAAAAAAAAATTCAGCATGGCCCCTTTAAGAAGAGGCTTTTTTGCAGGTGGCCATTTTGTTTTTCTGTTCCAGCCACAAGACAAGCCCTTGCAGAACCAGGTAAGCAGGGGAGGTGGGGAAAGGAGCTTCCGGGAGGGCCTGGTGGGGGGACTGGGGAGGGCCGGGGGCTGGGCCCAGTTGCTAAGTGTCTCATAGGGTTGCCAGGTGTTTGGTATTTTTGCCTCCTGGCAGGGAAAAAAATAAGAAAATACCGGACAGTTTAGGTGTCCGATATTTTCTGAATTTTTATACCGGACAGAAGGTGAAAATACCAGACTGTCTGGGTCAATACCGGACACCTGGCAACCCTAATTACATCAGTGCTGTATATATGGTGTTGAGGATCTAGCCCAGGGCAGGCCGCACCTAGCCTGCTAAGCCACTGGATCCAGCCAATATATATTGTGGGGAGCCTCAGGAATGTGCCTGCCCTGCACTCTCTGCACATGGCTCAGAAAAGCGGCTGCCAGACTATTTGTCTTTCAATAGTTGCAGGGGGAGAAGGAGGAAGAGGGAGAAGATTCATGCACTTCCCCTGCCCCTGCCCCTGCCCCTGCCCCCAGCACAATCCCATTGGCCAGG